TGATAAAAAAATGAGTTAGAGTACAATCTATAAGATAGAAAAAAAAAACAATTTTCAAAGGTTTATAATCAACGAATCGTATAATATGATAAATAAAATGTGTCGGTGATCAATAATAATTGATGATAATTCAGATTGATAAGTATAAGAAAAAACAGAAAAGAATCGTTTCATTTCATTATTTTGTTTTTTTTTCATTCGCAATGAATACAAACAAACGTCGTGCAAACGTACATGTATACGTGTCTAAAAATCGATACCCATGTAATTATCCACGTGGCCCAGGCAGACAATAAACGGCCAGAAAGGCGTTTAAACGCGTTAAAAAAGCGTTTACACCGTTTTAACTCGTTTAAACGCGTTTACTACTGAAATTTTCACTTTTAAATCGTTTTTACAGTTTATTTTCAACTAAATTTGACAAAACCATTAAAAACGCCCCAATTTCGTGTTTTTTTCGAAAAAAAACGTTTTAACAGTATTTTTCCGTTTTGCTTCGATTACCAAAAAAACAATCAAAACTACAAAAATTTTATTATTATGCTGTCAATAAGTTATGTGCATCGTCACTAACTAATTGCTAGTAGGTGATAGTCTGCCCTACTAATCTGCTACTAATGAGTAGTAAATTTTTAATTTAACTATTCTGTGACAGTTATGCCTGGTTGAATGTATCTAAATCACGTAACACAACAGAGTGAGTAATCAGTCTGATTACTTTCTAGTAAGTAGTAAGTTTTTCGACTCGTTGCTTATTAGTAACAGACAACTGATGGTTAGAACATGTATCTTTTACTAATAAACAGCAAAAGATCAGGTCCGATATTTATTATTAGTGAACAGAAATTTTAAACCAAGAAATTTTTTTATTGTCATTAAGTCGAAGTCAAAATTGATAGCAGTATAACGATCTTACTGAAAATACTCTGTGTAGTGAGTTTACATATTCTATATTGATATATTGTCAGTGTATCTACTCAGCAATATTCCACTGTCAATTGAAAACCGTTAAGACAAATATTGTTCGGTGTTAATATCTGATGAGAATGTAACAAGGCTTATCTTTGATTTGCCGCAGAGTAACTGCCATAAACTGATTTGCTTAACAGAAATAGGCGTGCAGCACATCTCATGCTGAATATCTTTAACAATCAGCGTGTAGACAATTAACGTTATAGTGATTTGTTCAATGAATATTATAACATCATCTTAACCAATATTGGTTTATTTTACTGCACATTTAAGAAGATTAATTCTAGCTCGGATGTATTTTGTGAATTATAATAAGTGCAGACAAATATTGTTAACGCTCAGAAACTAAATGGAAGGGGGCAATCATCATTAATGTTATTACATGTTAGTATATCATACTAACAACATAAACGATTCCTTCCTTCTTAGATTATATGATAATCATAATCTTCTCTATTTCTCTTTTAAAAGTGCAAGTACGTATGGGCAACAATCATGTTTAACCAAGATAAACAAGTTATCCTGTTCTCATATAGGTTATAATTAAAAAATGACATAGAGATTAGCTGTTTCAATAAAAGTTTCAAAACTTGACTATTGTATATTTCATCTACGTAGTTATCATCGTCACATAGAAACAGAGTTATCATCAGTCCACATTTGCAAGAAATTTTTTTTATTCTGTCTTTTCTTTCCGTCCGTCCAGTTCACAGAAAAAGGAAAAAAGAGGTCATTCTTTTATCACTCTCTCGTCCGATTATTCGTCTGTTCTTTTCATTTGGAATTCATTTGTGTTCTGTTTCGTTCACATAGTTGCCTAACTGAGTAGGCCATTTTATTTCTAACGTATACTTAAAATTAATGTTAAATTCACTATATGTAATGGCACATACTTCTTTTGTGTAAGACTGGATATGTTCGAATTAGATAAGTTCTTTTCTGCGGAAATCACTCAGAACGAGAGAAAGAATAGGACACTTACTGCATGGCTATTAATAGTGAGTTTCTGTGAAAAATACTTCAATATTCACTAGGTTAGTGTTGACTTAGACATAACATGTACGATACTTATGACAATACAACTAGCAGAGTCGCTCGCAGACGATAAACATAGCAGGGTCCATTAAATATTCCTCACTTGAAATGTTTCATATATAATGTTCATCACGAGTACGTGTGACATATGAGACGTTTGAAACAGTTGAGTTTTCTACTCCATGAAAAGGGAATCTTAAGTCATCGAAATATGAATGAGCTTTAAAAGAAATATCGTCACTACAGGAAAAAGCAGATAGCATTCTGATGCATAGGTGTGCCTTAATCAATTTCGCGACCGACTTAATACACACTAATTATGAGATTTCGTAGTGCGTTGATGACATTTCTAGTTATATCATATCTCCGTACTTTGATATTTTAGAATTTGATCGAAATGAAGTTAAATTTATTAATGATACTTGAAAAGAACATCTGTCTACCATAGTAGTTCCGATTGTAGTTTTCCTTATACTAGAAGCTGGTTAGATAGTCCGTGCTTTGCCTTTTTATCAATTCCTGTGTTAGTCGTACTATTTTAAATCTATTCATCAGTCTATCTTATCCGTCACTTATTTGAAACATGAATGGAAATAATTCAGTTTTCTTCTCGTTGATAAACTGACCGATTATATTCAGATTATCATTAGATTAATGTTAAATTGACATATGTTTATTGTTTATACTTTGAAAACAGTGCAGAGAATTAAATCTCTCGTCAGTTCGTTTCGTTTTATGTTAAGAGTAAGTTTACATTTTGCCATTTACTTGTTGGTATTTTTTTCTTTTTGTTTTTTTTTTCTAATACTGGAATGGTATGACAAGGTGTTAATACTGTTCGATTAAACCTACATTTTTTATCTTTCTTTCCACTATTGAAAAAAAACAAAAAGAAAAAAATATCAATAAGTAAATAGTAAAATATACACTTACTCTTAACATAGAAAGAAACGAACTGATGAGAGATAAATTTTCTGCACTGTTTTCAAAGTATAAACTATAAACATATGTCAATTTAACATTAATCTAATGATAATTTGAATATAATCGATCAGTTTATCAATGAGAAGAAAATTTAGTTATAAATTATTGATACTTCATCGTTTAGATGAAACGTTTGTTGATCATTAAGAGGCGTGACAAGGGAAATTATTTCAACTGTTTAAACAGTGTCATTAGTCGCCAAAAACGCGTTAAAACAGTTACAATTTCAATGACTCCAAGCGTTTAAACATGTAAAACGTGTTAAAATTTAATTTTTCATAAACTGTTTTAACGCGTTTTTGGCGACTAATGACACTGTTTAAATAGTTCAGATGTTGAGACGTTTAAACGCCGTTTTTGCCGTTTTCTTGTCTGCCCGGGGGGACTGTTATTATGGTACCTGGAATTGATGGAGGTAAACTTCATTAAGATAAATTTATGAAAGATAATTATTATTTTTGTCTCATTAAGGTTATACAGGACCTGGCGTAAGTTAACTTTTTTTTTTGTATTTTAGTAATTTTAATTCTATTGTTAGGACATTTATCCTGAATTGGCTAAAGAGATAATAGCTTATCCAAATTTGATATCAGTACAAATGGATCATCGATTTCGTGGTAATCTCGATCCATGTGTAAGTTTAATAATTGAAATTTAGTAAAATAAGAATAATAGATTATCTTTTTATTTAGGTTCAAGATTTGTTAGAAACAATTGATATACTTAAGTTAAATTATAATGTTCGACGAGTAGTACTTGTTGGTTGGTCATTTGGTGGTGCTGTTGTTATTAGAGCCGGTACCAGACATGGTCTTGTCAAAGCTGTTGGTAACATTCGTTTTTTCTTTCAATTTAATTTACTTTTCTTTTTATACATAGCAACTGTTGGATCACAAACTACTGGTGCAGGTAGTGTTGGTCAATTAAGTCGAAAAGGTGAATAGATAAAATAAAGCTATATGTTTGATTTATTTATTTTTTGATGTTTAGGCAAAGCATGTTTATTTATTCATTGTACAGGTGATGACTGTTTATCACCAACATGTTCTCGAGAACTTTATCAATTAGCTGGTCAACCAAAAGAACTTGTTTTATATTATGGAGATAATCATGGTGTTACAAATCATCGTTATCAAGCAAAAGAAAAAATTAAAGAATTTGCTCTTCAATATTTATGTATACCTATATACTAAGATTTTATTAACGAAATTTATTTTTTTTTAATCCAAAAAATAAATTAAACCTGCTGCATGACAATGAGCTTTAATAAATGTTTCACAAATTGCTTACATCAAATTACGGACCAGCGTTCTTGTCCCCTCGATGAAGGAAGGTCACACGAAAAAAAAATAGTTAGTTTGTTTGCTTGTCGCAGGTCAAAAGAACATTAGGGTTAAATGAACACATGTTAAGGTTTTTCATGCTTTTGATGAAAGTTTGCTATAGGTTATCGATGGTCAAGAATCCAAAACTGAAGTGAATGTCATACGAAATAAAATGAATTTGGATGTGATTTTGTCGTAGGATCAAATGTTAAAGATGAAAAAAAAATATATATGTTAAGGAAACATCAATAATAAGAGATATAGACACTTTTCAAAGTGTGACTCATTCTTTTTTCTCTTTCAACATTCTTACTCACCCTCTTGTATCTATTCTTATTTAATCTAAATTTGTGCTTAATGTGTAATTTTTAAGATATTTTGAAAAAGGCTATTTAGACTGAAACACGTGTCAAAATGAAAATATTCACCTTGAAAATTCCAAGTCTCATATTCAGACTTGTCTAAGTTGGAATTTTCCATATCATTAGAATCCTTCGGAATCTTTCGGAATTCTTGGTAATCTATTGAGAATCCATTGGGAATGTTTGGGAATTTTTACGGATCCACTGTGAATATAGTAGGAATCCAATAGAAGTCCTTTGGAATTCTTAAAAAACTACTGAGAATTCTTCACATTCCAAAAATTTCAAGCTTGCCTTTTTCGCGGAATTCAGCCGGGTCTTCGTCCCATTTCGTAATTTTTTGTTTTTGTTTTGCAAGGTTTCCTTAATGTGAGACGCATATAATTATAAGTATTGAATGATATTTATTTGAATTTCTAAGAATTCCAAAGAAGTATAGTAGGTTTCTAGAATGGATAAGTATATGAAAACGTTCGAAGAAGGTATAAGTCTCTTATTTATTTGACTCGAGATTAAATTTTTGTACTCGATAATTTCCGTAATCGACGACGTAGAGATTATCGTGTCGATCGAATGACAAACCGAAGGGCGAATGAAGTTGGTTTGATTGTTCTCCTCGACCGTTTCCACCAACAATGACATTTCCCTGTGTGGCTCCTTTGATCCAACGCATGATTCGATCATTCTCTGCATCAGCCACATAGACAGTGCCCAATTGATCGACAAAGACTCCATAAGGATATGACAATTGTGTAAGACCATTTCCTTTTCCTTGACCACCAGCCACGACAATGCCTTGTTTTGCACCTTCCATCCATTTTATCACACGATGATTTCCCCATTCAGACACATACACTGAATGATCTCGATCGACGAATACATATGTTGGGTTAGAGAGTTGATCAGAACGAGTTCCATTTCCATTTCCACCTGCAACCACTATTCCTTGAGATTCTCCTCTTCGATATCGTCTCACTTCACCTTTTTGATAGTCAGTGACATAGAGAGATCCATTCTCGTCCATTGTCAAACCTTGACAATCGATGTTGGAGATGATTGTCTCTCCATTTGTCCCATTTCGACGAGGCCATCGAACTACTCTTCTATTCAAAAAATCGCAGATGATGAGACTATTTCTCTCTTTGTCGACAATCACATCTTGTGGGAAAGACAACTGATGAGCCCCATTTCCAAATCCATTTCCACCGGCAACAACTTGACCACTCATGGCACCCAATTTCCATTCAACAATACGGTTATTCCCTTGATCAGCCACATAGATAGTTTGATCATCATCAACATACAAACCTAATGGGTAAGAGAGTTGATTGATTCCATTGCCTTGTCCATTTCCTCCAGCGACAGTAAGACCATTCTGTTGCCATCGAGCATTCAAATTAATGTCAATGGAACTGCCACGTAATGGTACTAAAAATGCAAGAGAAAAATCTAGAATAATAGAAAGCATCATATCATCGATTTCATTGCAAATCAATCTTTTTCATTTATTATTTTTTTTCTTTTATTGAACAGTATTGACGTACAATAGAATGATGATTATTCATTCATTTTCTCAACAATAAACAATCATTTGGAAAACTTTCACTTTTCATCAAGAAAGTAAGAGTAGAATTCTTGAATTCTGTGAACAATCATGTCATGCTCAAATAGTAGATGGAATTCACAAATCTTTAACAAATGATAATTTTTGTGTTTATGGAAAATTTCTTTATTTTAGATACTTATCTATTTATTTATTTATTTGAAAATACAATCAAATGTGTTGATCGATCATGAAACAAAAGTGAAATTGTACAAATTTGTCTCTCTCTCTCAATTCTTCACTCGTGAATGAATATGAGTTAATTAATTAATATTCTTTATTTGCTTCCACGAGCATGTTGATTTAAATTAGGTATGCATCAGTGCAAGTTTAGAACTGGAAACTGAGTACCCAATTGCACTGGGTATATATTTAACTGATCTATGATTTATTAAATCATTGGTAGTTTTCTTTGAGTTAATACACATTACAATTATATAATTCTTGTACTCTTAACCCTTTCAATCCCGAGATTTTCTTGCTTTCTGTACGAACACGAAGAAAAATAATTCAATCTTTCTCTTGAGCATTCTACTGTCACAATCAGCTGCGTTTGAAATCTAGCGTCATTATTTCTAGACATAGGCAAAGACAAAAACTAGCTATTTTAAAAGAACCATGCGTGATGAACAAATTGAATTTGAAAAAGTCGTCTGATATACGTCATCTAAGAAGACGACAGAATGCAAAATATTTCCTTTGCTTTCTGCATGTCATCTCGTAAATGATATACTGGATTGAAAGGGTTAATATATTCATAACTCGAATTTTGAACAAATTTAGTATTCTTCTATTATTGATGGTTTATTTACTGTTACGATATTGAGGTATTGGTATTGATAGTGAATCGGTACCAATACCCTCAATACAAGGGAAAAAAGCAGTTTTTACAATTTTAAGGTTTCAAAACATTTCAAAAGATTTTGAGAGAATTCAGAGACTTCGAGAAATCTGCAGCAATTGCAAACAATGGAGCTGTTCATCAGTTCAGCTCTCAGAAGCTGGAGAGGATTACCACAGATCCTCAAGGATGATCGTATGGAGGCATCGATAAACAGGTGTGTCGCAACCCCAGTTTACTTTGCTGAGGTAGAACTGGTCATTCAACTTTTGTTCATTTGAAATGAAGTTATCTAGCAGCTCTTTGAGTAAAATCTCGCAAACTATGGAGTAGGAGCTATGACACACCTAATCCTGAATGGATCTTTGACGAAAGATGAACTCAAATTTGACCCAAATTTGTCAAACGCAATTTCCTCGATATAGCACTAATTGTAAAGTAAAACCACTCGATTACGGGACTCAATTACGTCGACCTAAGAAAAACAGCCACCTTGTTGCACTTCCTAAAAGAAAACTCCTCACTTACACATCTCTTACATTATCCTCTAAGCCAATATTTTGTTCCACATTCAACAGTAGTTCCTGAGTGACATATGAATGATGTTCTTAGCACAGTTTGACGGTATACGCCTAAAAGCTTATGAAGACCTATGACAACTAACGCTAGACGTATCCTGAACACTTAGTGATACCCAACACCCTTGCTTCGAATAGTCCTGAAAAAGGAACCAAGGGTATACCAAAACAGCCTTTGAAAAGTTAACAATAGAGACAGTTTCCCTAATAACGACGGGAAAATTTTCACATCTTTTCTTTGATTCCGTTTTCAGTCATTTTACATTCGACTTAAAATATTTTTATATTTGGATAATCTTTAAAGTCTCCTCTTTCAAATGGTATGATCACAGCCTCTCTACATCGTGCTGTAGTGGGGATATCAGCGGCCTATGATCGAGGACTCCATCCGTCGTTATTTGGTACAATTTCCATAATTCCGACGGCAAGCCAATTTTCTTCCCGAATAACGACGGCAATTATTTTTTTTCCCTAATAGCGATGGCCAGTCAATTTTTATCCCGAATAGTGACGGCAAGCCATTTTTTCCTAATAACTATACATCATTAAAACAAACTAGTTTAAATTATGAATAAATTCTACTTGTTCTTTAGAAAGCATTGAGCTGTATAATTTGTTTGAATGGACTAATTGAAGCGGGTTAAAGAGTTTTCAATCCTTTCTTTTATTAAATACATTCGCTACTCAAATTCATCGTTACCTTATCTGAATTGGTTTTTAAATAATTTCAATAATTCTCTCGTTGTTATATAGCTAAAGTTTTCTTTACCACTTCATATCGAGTCAAATGTACGACACTTTGTTAGTTTTGTTGCATTTTTCATCTCTTTTAGTACACAAATTACTTTATATTTAAGTAAAATAAAATGTCAAAGAAGGTCATAGTTGGATAATAAATGAAAAAAAGATTGTCCAAAAGTACGAACTCAGTGTCTTAGCAAGTTTCGGTAAAATAGAGCAGTGGAGGTTTCTTATGTGATAAAAGGTTAGAGACATCGAAGCATCTTCTATATGTTCCACGAAGAGAATTCGATCCCACAAAGTTTTAATGAAAAGCAAATCGAGTACTTAATAAGAAAATGAGTTAAATGAAAGAATTAATTCAAAAACGATTAGTCGCTATTTCGTCTTCTAATTCTAACCAATTCACTGATGAATGTATGGATCAGACCCAATGAGGTACTGAGAATGATGCAATAAAAATAGTCATTTTTTGATATATATAGAAAAGTATATCAGTGAGATACGAAAGATTGCTTGTACGAATTTTCCAGAAAACAGTTTGCTGTTTACTCAACATACCGATTAACTTTCTAGTAATCGGTAAGCACATTTATGAGGTATTCATCTGTGTTTTGGTTCCATCTAAATAGTTCGCCTCGAACATAAGGAATAACTATATTGAAAACAACACGTATCAGAGAATTTTAAATTTTTTCAGTGAGAAACAGAATCGTCTAGTTTTAAAAATTAAAACAATAGATTCTATAAAATCATGAAAGAAGGATAAAAACCGTATAATCTGATTAAAAGAAATAGATTAAATTAGAGGAAAGTTGAATATTTAACTATTTAACTAATTGTACGCGTAAGGAGAAATTCCTCTAATCTTTACGATTTTAGTGTTGTAAAAAAAAATGGTCAACATTAGTATCTACATATATTCGAACAACAAAACGAAGATCTATTAGGAAAATAGATTTTCCTAAACTTTTATATGATCTTTATACAAGTTCTTTCTCGTCGAGTGCTATAAGTGGTGGATTTCGACGAGCTGGTATATTGCCATGGGATGGTGATGCAATGAAGGACAAAGTTGTTCGCCGAGCTTCATCATCTAATATTCTTACCATGAATGAGTAAGTAATGGTAGAATTGTTTATTTTTTCTAATTAACGAATTTTAGTTCATTAGCAAGTAGTATTTTATCAAGCTTGGTAAATGAAATACGTACACCAAATGTTCATACAAATAATTCTAATAATTCATCAAGTACAAATCAAATGGATATTGAGTATGTTTATATAATTTAAATTTTCAAATAATCGACTATGCAAATTTACAATTAACTAGGCTAAGTTAGGAACCATTTTATTTGTACAATATTTGAGATTACTTGCAAATATAATAGTTTTAGAATATTTACCGCATAAAGCGCTTTCATTCAGTATAGTTTATCCTGACAATAATATTCTACCTTTCATTGTCTTTTTGTTAGATGCATCTTTCCATGTATGTCTTTCTACTTTATTCACTGATAGCAGTCTCCCTCCTTATACTTGATACTTTTATACAAGATGCAGTTGTTCTATTTTCGCATTAGATTTTTCAGTTTTGTTCCTGAGTAGCTCTTTTAAGTAAAACTGTTCATTGTTAAAGTTGCTCTTCTATTGTAATAATATTCAAAACTCTTGAATATCTTTTTCTTGTATAGTTTACCACCATCTTCATATCGTCGTCAGGTAACTTTTGATGACGAAAGTAGTGATGAAAGGTATGAAACTAATCAACTCTCATATTTTTTCCATTCATATCAATTATTTTATACTTTAGTGATTCGGATATGGGCATGTATGCTGATTCATCAACAAAACAAAAACCAATAAACATTCATTATGGTCAGATTTTATCAATATCGTTTCGATTATTCTTTTCGTCAATATATTCTAGATTCAGATGAACATTTGGATTCTTCTTCTAATCAAAATAATGGTGATTTAGCTAGTACGTCATCATCAACATCAATTCAACTTCGTCATACATCAGCTATTCGAACAATAATGTCCTCTTATGTACGAAATAATAATGAATCTGTTCAACCAAAACCAGTTAAATTGAATCGTCGTGTACGTATTGAACGAAAATTTGGTGAAGATATAACCAATGGAAATCTTTTACAGGAATTAAAAGAAAAGGCAGAGGCGAAAAAAGCAAAAATGAAAAAAAAAGAGTTTCACAAGAATCTCAACGATCATCCAAAAAAACAAATTAATTACTAAACATGTAAAATGGAACAAAAAACGAACCTGTAATGCTAAAATACAAAACCGATAAATATTAGAAGAATAAAAATCAAAATCAATAGCATTTACTTGAGAAGAATGAAAACGAAATAACAGATTACAGTTCTGATCATAGCTTGTGTTGAAATGAGGCAGTATCGTCAAGGTGTCTCGTTTTTTACATCAAACACGCAGATGGTATTTTAAGCCATATTGCCTTAAAACCGAAAGGCCCACATTCTAATGCTTTAATAAATGAAAACTCAATCTCGCCCTTATTACTTCTAAAGTGCCTATCCCATTCTATGAAAAATATAATTTTTGTGGATTTAAAGCGACGGCATCGGTGCAAATCAGCAAAAGGATGTGAGAGTGAAGGTCTTTCACTATTGGGCATTTCGCACATTTTTTTTTGAATGGACAGCATGTAAAAGAGAAGAATCAATATGTTGCACACGCTCGACTCAACATATTTCATTATGGTTCTGGAAGAGAATCTGATTTTAGACCTTGTTTCTTGAATCACACATATTATGATAAACGAAAGACACAGTCTTAGTGCTGTCAAAAACGAATACTTAAAGGAAGCATTACAATCCGATTTTTTCTATTGCATTTTCGTTATTTTAGTCGAAAAACTAGAATGAAATACGATGTTGTGAATACATTTTGAAGAAGGTCTTTCAACTATGGCAAAATACTAAGTTCTCAGAGACTCTGACATTAGTGATGGAGTGACACTTCAGAATTCGCTGATTTTTTAAATATATTACAGAGAGTAGTGAGTTTAGTATTTTCTAAAATTTTCAGCTCGATTTGATAGTTTTTCCTATACAAAAATCAAAATACTAACGAGGGTGGGGTGTGGGTGTGTGGGTG